GTTCTGGTCTCTCTCTCTGTGATATCAGCCCAGAGACCTCAGGTTGCTAATGGCCTCTCACCCATGCTGATTGCCAGCTTTGTCATTATTTTACTCTGGTGAGTGTGTGTGCAGTGATCTCCAAACTATCTGTTGGTTGACTGCTGGATCAAACCAAGAACAGCAGATTTTGAGCCCAGCCTTACAGGAGTGGATGGGTCAGTCAGTAGGAGAAGACATTTGCACAAGACATTTGCACAAAGTTATCATTGTTACTGAAAAAAAATCTCTCCCTTTCCTAACTTCTCTATTTTAGTTGATGTAATTTTTTTTTTATCATTGTGCCTAAGGAATGAGTGAGAGATTGAAGAGGAAGAGCTGGTTGGAAGCAAAACATAATGACTCTATTTGAGGTTGAGGTTGAGGTTGAGGTTGAGGTTTCAGTGAGGCAGGCTGGGCTCAGTTATCCCTGACCCTCCTAATGTCACTGAGACTCAAACAACTGAAGACCTGCATCAACATACCTCAGGTCTTTCCAACCTGCCTCTTTTGTGGTTCAGACACTGATCTGAGTAACTGGCAGCCTCTCCAACTGTCATCTTCTCCTTCTCAGTCTAGTCTTCTTAAAGCCCTATTCCAACTTCTCAGTTTTTTTAATATTTGAATTGTTGTTGCTGTACAATTTTCTCTTTTACTCCCATCCCAAACCACCCACCCAACCCTCCCCTCCTCCCTCCCATTTCCACCCACCCCTAGTTTTTATCCATGTGTCCTTATACTTGTTCCTGTAAACCCTTCCCCTTTTCCCCTGAAATTCCCTCTCCTCCTCCCTCTGAACTCTGTCAGTCTGTTCTTTATTTCAGAGTCTTTGGTTATATTTTGCTTGTTCCTCTGTTTTGTTGTTTAGGTTCCTGTTAAAGGTGAGATCATATGGTATTTGTCTTTCACTGCCTGGCTTATTTCACTTAGCATAATACTTTCCAGTTGCATCCATGCTGTTGCAAAGGGTAGTAGCTCCTTCTCAGTTCTTCAACAGCTAGTTCAGGTTGAGGTTCAGTTCTCACTCTACTTCCAGGCAATACTGGGGTTAAAAACAAGTAAAACTCCATGGTTCTGGCACTTGTGGAAATTCCCATGATGACACCATCCTATTTCTCAAACAAAGTCTCAAAGACTTAGAGATGGCTGGGCCCCTAGACAGGTGTTCAAGGCCCTCTGAACTCACCTTCTAGGTTTATTCTGTGCTACAGATCCACACATTCTCACGTAGCAGGAAATCTCTGACTTCTCATTCCTTTGTCTTCTTTCACTTTCCTCCCCCAAGTCTGGATACCCTCCATGTCCTTGTCTCCTTCTCCCCCTCCACCCAACCTACCTGTCAACATTCTAAACTGTCTTTCATAACTTCCCTCAAAACATGACTCTCTCACAGGCCCTCACAACTCTCTGCCCAAGGTGTCCGCTCTTTGAATTCTCATGGGAACTTTTGTATATTTTTTAAAGATTTTATTTACTTATTTTTAGACAGAGGAGAAGGGAGGGAGAAAGAGGGGGAGAGAAACATTAAGGTGTGGTTGTCTCTTGCACACCCCCCACTGGGGACCTGGCCCACAATCTAGGCATGTGCCGTGACTGGGAATCGAACCAGCTACCCTTTGGTTTGCAGGCTGGTACTCAAATCACTGAGCCACACCAGCCAGGACCTTTTGTATACTTCTGATATCCATCACATTACACCTGGTATCAAGTTCAATGCATACCAATCTCTGCTATTAATCTATCAGAGAGAAAGCCCATGTCTTATTCATATTGGTGGCACCACCTCAACAGCAGCTTCACACATAGGGTAACTTTTACAAAAGTTGATCATATAGTTTGTTATAATTTATTGTCCAAACCAAGACACTTTTGATAGTGAATGGGCCATTCTTAATAATTATTCTGGGCTGCAAGTAAAATTAAAATTGTCCCTGGCTACTTGGTCACATGGTAGTCTATTTATGCCAAATGAAGTATCAACAAATAGTTTATGAATTAAGTAGAAATGCCTACGCTTACAATTACACTTATACTTACATTGTTACTGGCTTATAATGTAGTAGCCAGTGAGCAGTGTAAAAGGTTGGCAGAAGATGTCTTGATTAGAGCTGGTACTTCTGAGGATGGTTCCACTGAACAGGTGGTCCCTGAGGTATGACCAGTGGGAAGAAACAGGATTCAGGAAGGTCCAATTAAACAGAGAGAAAAAGGAATGACATCATGGAAGGATAGGATGATGGGAGCAAAGATGGAACCACATCTGATATATTCAGAGAAGAGTTTTGGCTGAAACTGATGGTTTATATTCAGGAGAAATAGACACCAGGGTTAGAAAGTGGGGTAGGAAGAAACTGGAGTGCTAACACCAGTGTGTATGTGTTGGGGGAAGGTGTAGTCTTTATAAAGGAGGTAAGAGCAGCAAGTACCTGGGTGTTTCTGAGCAGGAAAGAGACAAAGAAAATGTAGCATTTTGGGAAACTCTTTTCATGGTCATATTTAGAGAGAGGTGAGGCTGAGGAGAGGAAGGCCATATGGATCCATGGAAATAATCTCAATGTACAATGACAAGAATTTAAAGGAAATACTGGTAACTAAAATGAATATATCTCCTGGAAAACTGAAAAAGTAGGATTAACAGCTCTATGTGACCCAAGGGAGTTAGGAATAGTTTTGAGGCAACAGTATGTATAGATTCTATCTGTTGGAACAATAGATTGAAATAAGAAAGCAGAGATGATTTGAATGAAGATTATAAATTTATTGTAGATTTTTACACACTAAGTATGAGGCACCAGCAGGTCATCTAAATGGAAATATCCAGAAATAGCCAGAGAGGAATGCTCAGGAAGTTGGAGAAATGAGAATGAAACTGGAACACCCAATGTTTATGCTGCCTGTCATTTACCAGACCCAATAAGCAGAAACAGGGATTGAATCTTTATGGGCACTTTATTCAGATGGTTAATGATCTGAGAAGATGGTAGGTATGGACCCTAACAGACCATCTTACATATCCTTTTAAGCTAGCCTTTTTTATAAGGGGGCAGAAGTATAGGTAAGGGGTCTGCAATTCAAGGGGAAAAAGTGTAGGTAAGGGATTTGGAATTCAAGAAAGAGGTTAATCAGATAAAAGCTGCAGTCCAGCAATTTCCCTAATATCCTTTCATCCACTGACCAATCATTTTCTTTATCTGTGTCCTGGGCAATTTTTTTTATCAGTACCCTGGGCAGCAAACTGTTTCTCCTTGGAACACAATAGCTCAGGTACAACCTTGATTGCTTATGGTCTCTTCTGGAGCACAAAGGTCAGTCACTTGTGGTCTCCAAGAGTCAGGGTGGGCCTTTCTGCAGTTTGTGAAACTATAACTTTTTACATGCACTAACTACTAGGCTTATTAACTATTACCTTAAACTAAAATTTACCAACTCTTGAGTCCTCCATCAAGACCAGAGGAAATGATTTAGGAGGAGGAGCCACCCATGGGATTGTAACAGGCATGGAACAAGGTTCAGAACTTGGGTGCCTGGGGAAAAAAACCCACAGCCATTGCTTGGGGCTAGGGAAGTAGACAGACCAGTTAAGAGGTATTTTGTATATCAATAACACCTGGCTAGTTTCCTAGATAGTTAAGTAGCTGTGGCAGATACTCAGAATGAGGGAGGTGGGCATGACTTTAAGCTGTTATGTAGCCAGGAGGCGGCTCCTTGGTTGCTGAGCCTGCCTGAGAGCAGGAAGGAGGTTCCCCTAGGTCATAGGCCAAGCCTGCCCAGACACAATGACAGCTGAAAAAGGCAGAAGAAACCAGAGGATGGGCAGACTGTGGGAGAAGTTGGAAATGGGGTTGAGGAGGTATAGGGATTTAAACTCAAGTGTGGGGCAGCCATGGTCTCTGGACCATGTTGCTTAGAAGGGAGTAGCAGAGCCATGAGGGGTGCTTTCTCTCTCATTTTCACTCTCTCTCTGGCACGTGGCTTAGAAAGGAGAAGAAAAGCAGGATGTAGCAGCTGTGTGGAGCTCTCCTTGACTGTGTGGTTTAGGAAGGAGAGGAGCTATTGGCCACATGAAGACAGAGACATACTATCTGTAGTAAGGGATTGGGTCATGCACTGCTGCTGTGATTGTGTCTGCTCTAGCTGACTCCAGAGCTGCAAAGGACTTCTTTGCAAGATGCTACCTTTCAGACTTGGATTTTACCTGGACTATTAAGAGTTGTGCCTTTCTTGAGTTTCACCAGAGTAACATGAACTCTTGGATCAGGAATAATAATGCTTTCCTGGACTATTACAAGAAGGTTGCTGACAACATATTCCAGATCCTGCACAGATAAGGACATGAGAAACTTTTGGGGATGCTTTTGGCTCATAGCCTGCTGGGGAGCATGGGAAGTGCTGGGTATATTGGGAAAGGAGGGCTTTGAGCTGAGGTGCTCTGAGCTCCCTCAAGGCTGGAATGTTGTAAATAAAGATCTGCTCCTTCCAGCATGAATTGTTGGGTCATTCACCAAGGTGCTATGTGGATAGGCCCTGGTCTGCTCCCTTACAATTTTGGCAAGCCCTGTAACAGAATGAGCAATAGGTGAAAGGTATAAAAGGATGAGGTGTCTTGTGGCCAGACAGTAGGAAGATTACCAACTGTTGGATGTCAGAAAAATGTCTGCACTTAATGGGGAAGGGAGATACAAGGAGAATGAGAAGGGGCCATTAACCAGTGATTTAGCAATTGAGATAATGATTAAGATAAAAAAAAATCTAAGGAAATGAACTGAAAATGTATTTCTCTGGCCAATGATATTGTCAGAGGTTGATTTTCTGCCCATGTCAAAGGGGTATTGATGTGATGATATATGTGTTTCTATTCTGAAAAAGGATTAATGGCAGAACAGCCAAAAAGCCAGTTAATTCAACAAAAATATGAATGGTTCTAAAATTACTCAGGCTGTGACTCATGACCAAACTACTTCAATGATAGATACTAACCTGTGATGCCTTTTTTATTCAGAAGGTAGCAATATTGGGCATAAAAGAAAGAACTTTTCTTGATTCCATCATAATGATACCTGAAAAATAAAGGTTGTCTTAAAGATGATGTCACACCACATGTTTTATAGAAGATACAACACAGACTACCTAATGAAGACTTGGGGGTCTTCTCTAGGTTTTATCACTGACTCTGGTTATTAAGAAAAGCTAATCAGTCATTCTGAAACTGGAAAAGACCAGTGTTCATGCTGCCTATCACATAATGAACCCAATAAGTAGAGATAGGGATTGAATCTTTATGGGTGCTTTATTCAGACAACCAGCGATCTGAAAAGATGGCAGGCAAGTTCATAGCCTAACAGACCATCTTAAATTCCATTTTAAAATGGCCCTTTTTATGAGGAGAAGAAAGTGTAGGTAAGGGGTTTAGAATTCAGGGAAAAGTTAATTGGATTAAAAAAATGCAGCATTCTCACCCTGGGTAGTGGTCTTTAGCTATGCCCCAGGCAGTGGTCTTTAGCTGTGCCCTGGGTGTTAATCATCTCACCCCAGAGTACAACGGCTCAGATACCATCTTGAATTGCTTGCAGTCCTCCTGAGGCACAAAGATGTAACTGCTCACAGTTTCCTGGAGTTAGGGTGGGTCATACCTTCAGTTCCTGGAACAACAGCTTTTACATGCATTGATTACTAAGCTTATTAGCTATTACTTAAAATAAAATTTTCCAACTCTTGAGTCCCCTATCAATTCAGCCTAATCAAGCTCTGATAGGCAGACAATTTCAAACTACTTCAAATGCATCAGCTTTGAAACAGGCTTGCAAATGTTCTACTCTGCTTTCCCAATTTATGATCTAATCTTAGAGGTGCAACAGTGAAAGCCTCCTGCTGCCACTGTCATTAACCTCTTCAGAGTGAAGTGGAGCTACACCAACTGAGTCCAGTTCCCTCTCCTGGGAACTGGACTCAGGTTCCCAGAAACCCAGTGAATAAGCTGGCTTCCTTTCTGCAGTTCACACCCTGTTCTGTTCAGCCCAGGAAACTGTAGCAGCTTGTCCAGGCAGAACAAAATTCTTTCAAATGAACTACTGCTCAATGTTGAATTTGGCAAACTCTTCCACTGTCTTCAATTCCTTCATGGGTGGCAGGTCCCTTTCCTAATTTGGCTCCCATTTCTTATTACTGATTTCCTGATCTCTCCTAATTTTTCTTGATTTAAAACAAACAACAAATAACAGTAATAACTGAGTGACAATTATAACACCATGCACCAAATAACACTGAAATTTCCTTTTGTGTTAAAAATATAGCCTGGGTATCCAGTTTGCTGAATATAATTCAAAGGTGCTAGTTAAATGTTACTTGGAAATTTTAGCTCAAATAGTACTAAAACAGTTCTACTTATTTAAATATTTCAACAATTAGACATTTACATATCTAAATAGTTAATGTGTTGAGACAAAAATATATTGTGACTTTTGTGTTTTAACAAAATTCCAAAAAATAGAAATTAATATTTGATTCTAGCATTATCTGACTTATTTTAGGCACTAGGATTTCAGCTTGAATTATGGGAACTTTATGGTAACAGCTGATATTTATAGTTTGTCCAGTTTTGCATTTTTGGTCACTTATTCTATGATTTATTTTTTTAAAATAAAACAAAAATTATAAACCTCCCTGGCACTTCCTCTTGTGATTAGATCAGGAAAAATTAAGTGACAAGCTTAAAGAATAAGCCAGATTTAAAGTTGTAATTCAAAAGTTTAGAAATAAAACTTCTGATTTCTTCTCTCATACTGTTTCAATTGTAGTTTCTCTTTTCTGATGATACAGAAAATATATGTAAATGAAATCTGAAAAAAATCAGACACATATAAAGAAGAAAACATACCACTCAGGAAACCACCGTTTAAACCTCAGTGCAGTTCCTTCCAATCTTTTATCAAAGTCTCAATGTGTGTATGTATTCTATGGGTATATACATGAAATAACTGACATCACACAATTAGCATGTCCGCAATCTTGCTTTCTACTTTCTTCCCTGCATATTGTATCATAAATATTTCCCTTCATCATTAAGAATTCTCTGAAAAAAGGATTATTAACAGCTGCATAATAGTCCATCATTTTATTATACTTTACTGGAGGATATATTTTTTATTGATTAGAGAGAGAGAGAGACATCTATGTGAGAGAGAGTAATCAGTCATTTGTGCCCTGACCGGGGATCAAACCCAAAACCTTTTGGTGTATGGGACAATGCTCCAACTGACAGAGCCATCTGGCCGGGGCTCTCTCAGTTATCATTTTAATGCATGTTGTTAAATAACGCTGATACTATGTTTATGATCAATAACATTAAGAAAAATGAAGTCTGTTCCATTTTCCTAATTGTGAGAGGTACATGGCATGAATGGTGTCTGATTGCATATCTGCTGAAAGTGAAATCCTGGAGTATGGTGAAATTACAAACATACAGAGCATGGTGTGCCAAACAGTCAAGTAATGATTTCTGATATTTTTCTAAGATCCCCTCCCAATCACTCAGCCTCCACTTCTGCTTGGTGTCCTGTTGCATCTCTCTTTCTTTTTTTCTTAGCTTCCAAGCAGAAGGATTTGACAGTGTCATGAAACACTACTCTTGTCTGGCTTCAGGTCCTATTTCTTCCTATGGGAAGTGACCAAACTCTTGAGTGTGGAGGAGGCAAATGAAGCAAGAGGGAAGGCAAGTCTGGCACAATTAAACACTGGGTTCATGAGGTCAAATTGACAAGTTAATTCAGGGAAGGAGAACTAAAATGCATAGATGAAAAATAAATGATTGGACATAAAAAAGTCAGTGAACACTAAATGTAGGATTAGATGCCAGAAATTCCTACTTTCAACAACAGATTCTGACAATATTATCTTCTCTTAATAAAATCACTTAAAATCTTTGCTATATGTCCAATTGTAAGATAGTAGGTAACTAATGGAATTATTATAAATTATGCATCAGGCTCAGATTCAAGGCCCTGGAAAGTAATCTGGTGTTTTGGAGGAATCAGCAAGAAAGAATTGTCTAGCAATATAATAATCTGCACATTTTATTTTATTGAATAATTCCAACCCCAGAATACCCTGTGTTTTCATTTTATGATTGGTATACCACAGTAAAAGTTTAAAATCCAACTGAGATGACTATTTCCAAAAATATAGCAAGTATGAAATTTACATATTTAATATATAAATCAATAAGAAAAACACTAATACATCATTAGAAAGTGGTCTGGTGATAAAATGTATACAAACAAGAAACATATGACAAAACACACGAAAGTGCTTACCTTCCCTAATCACCCAATAAATCCAAGTCAAGAGAGCTAAATATAGTTCTTAACCAATGACTGTTCTAGGAACATTATGAATTTGAGGAAGAATATCAAAAACTATTATGAGAACCATGAATTAGTTACACTTGTGTACAGTCTCTTCTAGGGAAATTACCAGACACAGATGGAGATCTATGTTACTTATATTAGAGAAAAATTATGAACAAGATAAATTTCCAAGATGAATGGTGTCTGATTGCAAAGGGAATAATGAGATAAATACTGGAACATCCAAAAATATTTTATAGAACATGCACTTGAAAATAATGTGAACATTTTTATGATATTCTAGGTGAAAATAGGCATATGATTGTAATAGTTTAGGTTTCTTGGATGTTTCCTATGTACCAAAGTTATTCAATTCTCTTTACATGTGCTTTCTCATTAAGTCCTTAAAAGCACTTCACAATGTAGATGCTATTAACATTATCAATATTCTCATTTTATAGATGACAAAGTTGAGGCACAAAAAAAGATAAATAACTTGCCCAAGGTTATAACCTAATTAGCCTGGTTCTAGGCTTAGTGTTGTCAAAAAGTGTGCCATAGTATACTCTATCATCCTGTAAGTGTCTGTCCACCTACCTGTCTCTCTGAATACCCATCTGTCTGTATTCCCATATATTATCCATATCCATATATTATCTTTCAATCCATCCATCTACATGGTATCTATACAACAGTGTAACTGAACAACCAGTGGGGTTCTCTGCCCAGGGGCCTCTTCTCCTATCCAAAGGCACCATCCTTTAAGAAACATAGGCGGCTTAGCTCGTTTCCGGTTGCTGTCTGGCTTCAGGCATCCTTTGGAGTCTGTGCATCCAGGTGTCCTACTCATGGGACCCACTGCCATCTTCCTCTGGCTACTGCCCTCTAGTGTTTCTGTGTGCCAGCCAGGGCAGGACCCACACAGTAGGGCTGCAGTCATTGGTGACTCTGCAGCTTCTGTACAGGGTAGGGGCATGGGAAACATTCCTGGACCACATGCTCTCCTCAAGACCCACTGGCTCAGGCACCTAAGCCTCTGACGTTGGCAGCCAATTGACCAACCAGGGAAAAGGAGGGTAAAGTACATGGCATTTTCACCCACTCAGCTTTTAAAGACATCCTTCATAGTCCCCCATGTGGCAGAAGTATACAGGAGGGCATGTCCTTCCCATCCAATCACCTTCTTAGCTCTAAGTATTAGCCTATGCACTTCTTTTCTACTGAGTCATGTGTGTTGTCCTGGTTGCTGCAGCAATACACATATGCACAGTCTTCTGCACTTCTCAATCCTTCCACCATTTCTTGGGGTGGGGTCTCTTGTTACAAGAGGAAGAGCATGAAGACAACAAACAGCAAAGTGAGACACACACTGGAGGGGACTTGCACCCTTAATCATTTCACTAAAATTTGGTTTTCAAACTCTGAAAAGCCCTCAACTCAAATAATGCACAAAAAGGGAGAGAGAAAAGAAAGTGTGAGGGTATTTCTTGTGGCAAGGCTACTCTCTTGTTTTCGAATGGTGTGTGGGATAAGCCTATTAGAAAGGGATTTACGGGTTGACTAAGAGCTTATTGTAAGGGGCCTACAGTTTGTGTCAGGCTGCACAGCAGTCCTCGCAGATGAGAGATAGGTTGGCCAGTGGCCTTGATGGACACCCAGAGGAGAGTCCTATTACCCTGGTTTCAGCTGGCACACTCATAGTTTGCTCAGGTCAAGAATGATGGTAGTTTCCATGACCAGAAGTTGGCCACAAATAAAAAAGAGGTGACATGTGGAAAAGCCCAGACTCTGTCTAGCAAAGGTGCCAGGATGGGCTGTCAGGCTTCAGAAAGTCAGTCACCAGGCAAGGCACTAGAACATTTCCAAGGGCTACTCTGAAGAAGCCACCAAAGGGACCAGAATACAATAGTCAGCTTGGCCTCCAAAGCATGAAGCTGTGCAGTAGGAACTTTCTAGCTGTTTTTACCTCGCCCTCCTGGAAGGGTCAAACCAACACCCAGAAAGGTGGGAGGAGGTGGTGAAAGGGAAGGAGAAGCCCCCATTGTGTGCCTTCTTCTTTGGCTCCTTTGGTCACAGGTGTGCATGTGTGCATGAGCATTCAAATGAACCACAGAAATGGCTGTATCTCTGGATGTAGCAGGTATTTTTCTTCTTTTTATACATTTTCTCCAATTCCCACATTTTCACTATGAGGGTATATTACTTTTATAATCAGAAAAACATCAGTAAATGTTATTTTCAAAAAGGAAGCCCCTGTTATGGAAATCCCCTCATCCATGTAAAATTATCACTTGTGCTAGGAATGAGTATTACCCACCCTATGCCCAGGACTGCCAAAAGGAGCAAGAAACGTTCTAACATCTGCACAGGAACTGCTGTGGAATGTGGAATTGACTCCATTCCCAGGGGTGGGGGGAGGAAATGAGAATTGGGTATCTTGTTGTTTCTCTTGTAAACATACTTTGGGATCATATCCTTTTCCCTTTCCTCTCCCTTCTCTTTTTAGTCACAAATTAGGCAGTACAAGATCAGTTCCCAATCCTAGCTCCACTGGGCTCCACTAGCCCATTCTTCAGGTAAATTCCCAAAAAGAGCCACAAGTTAGTGCCTTTGGAAATGGATTCTCAGGGAGTATTAAGATGAAAAATGCTAACAAAATATCCATGGGCGTACACACCAAAGTCTCGTTTTAACTCTAGGGGCTTCCCTGGAAGTGAGACAACTTCTAAGAAAGTCTGAAACAGATTTTGAAAAATAGTTTTTGATTTCTTAGAAAAGAAAGTAGGGATCATACAGACCCAAAATATGTCAAGTTAGAGTAACCCCACTTCCATTTGACCAAGCTCCCGGGCAGGTAGATGAGGAGGAGGCTACAGGGCTCACAGCAAGCCAGTAGAGAAAAGAAGGGTCCCTGTGGGTAAAGGTTGGACCAGAGGGAGAAGGTGCCTGGTGACTCACCATCTAGTCATGGGATGTCCTAGATGGGAACCACTGGACACATGTGAGTAATGGTCGCTTACAATGTGCCTAGTCCAAACTGAAAGGGGTTTACATGTAAAATACACTGGATTTTTGAGATTTAGTTGGAGAAAAGAATGAAAAAATAACTCAATGATATTTAATATTGATTCCATGGTGAAAAGGTAATATTTTAGATAATTTGGATTACATTTAAAAATTATAAAAATTATTTTCATCTTTAAAAATCTTTAAAAATGAAGGTACTAAAATATTTTAAATTATGTCTATGGTCCCATTATATCTCTGTGGGACAGCACTGGACTACATTCTATGAGGCCCAGTCCAACTTGCAATTGGATTGGATGAGATATCCCTTTTCCTTAAAGTCCTGTCTCCTTCTGTTCTATATTCTCCTTTAGCATTTAACCCATCTAATATACTATATATTTTATCTTAGTTATCTGTCTCCCTCCCTTTTTCATTGTTGTATCTTCATCATCTAAAACAGTCCCTGGAACATAGAGGCTGCTCAATAAATATTTGTTAAATGTGGATGGTCTCAGAAGACTATCCTCTGTTAACCGTTTCTGTATATTGTATAACTTAAACAAAGTTCCTGATAGGGCTCTTAACTTCCAGAGGAAATCTTTAATGAGTTTTCTAAGTATGACAAAATTGTTAGAAATATCAGTTTTCTGACACTACAAAGTAGATCCTAGGACTTGTGTGAAGCTGAATTTGGGCATTTCATGCAGGGAATAACGGCCCAGCAAAACTGGTTGGGTATCTGGAGCTGCCATGGTTTCACTCTCTGAGGTGTCACTCTATTCCTTACCTTTCCTGGGCCCTCATTATGAAGTGTGGACAAAGAAAGAATGGTTTTTCCATAGAGATGGAGTACAACAGCATGTTAGCCATCGGGTTGGCTTCCCAGAGCAAAGCCAAATTATGCCCAACTGAGAATCCATTAAACTTAAATTCTAACATTGCCTCATCAATTAACATGAGTTTTTTTTAAAAAACTCAGGACTCTATACTTTTATCTTCACAACCTACCTTCCCAAATGTGGCTAGGTTGACTTGGTTCTGGACATTTTGCTCACAGGTGTCCATGTAGATCTCATACATGAAGCAATGAGGCACACTATACCCTTCACAAATGCAGAAATTGTCCACCAGCCTAGGGTAGAGAAAGATAAGGAAGAGGAAACTGGCATCGGTTTTTCTACAATAGGACATTCTGATAAGGATCAGTGGTCAGTGTGAGTGTGGGATCCAACCAAATGAAACGTATTTTAATTACTGAATACAAAAGTTCACCAGTCAGCATCAGTAATATATTGTACACTTTTGTTCTCAGCTCAGAGTTAAGTACAGGGTGGAACAAAAGTAGGTTTAGAGTTGTGAGTATGTAAAACAGTTTATTCTTGTGTTATTATTTATTAATTATTGTACTATTATAACCAAACAACAAGTGGGTTCCTACCACTCACTGCCCATAGGTAAAAACTCTGGGACCAAGAGTCTGGTGAAAAGGAAAAAGGAATTTTTTGTGTGTGGGGGGGGGGGGGGATTTTTTAATTTAAAATATGCACAGCAGGTTTCTTGATGGCCGCCCTACTTTGCTGGCAGAGGAATGTGCAGGCAGCTGGTGGGTAGCCTTCAAGGTGGCTTTCCATGACTTCATGTGCAGGGGAGGGATATGAGGCTTGCCACCAGGCTGCATTGCCTCCTAGGACCTGCAGGCTCAAGTTTCCTGCCCCTGTTCTTACCAGCCTAGTGTTGTAGCACACCTGGTCAGGCCTGGAATTCTCAGGGACGGGGGCAGGGCCTCCTATTCCCCAGGTTCACTGGAACCCTACCACTGACAAGCCTGCACTGGCATGGGCTGCAGAGAGGTGGCAGCCACCATGGTTTCCCATCTAGGGAAGGGGCACGGGATTACTGGGCCTGCACTGTAAGTATGGGCTGCGGGCAGGCAGCAGCCACGACAGCTTCTTGTCCGGTGAAGGGATGCAGAGCTTGCCAGCCAGCCACACTCTTTGAACCCGTCAGCCTGAGCATCCCCCCTGCCCTCTTACCAGAACCTGCTGCACTCCATGGGGAATCCTCTTGGCAAGGCCTGCCAGTTCAGGAACCTCAGACAAAGCCCACTGGCTCAGGAACTTTAGTCCCCCAGCTGCAGACTCACCAGCCAAGGAATGGGGGAGCAAAAAGCATGCATTTTCCATGTGCTCTGCTTTTTAAAACAGCTCCTATAATCGCTCACACAGCAGAAGCAGATGTTAGGGTATGTCCCTCCCATCCAATTACCCCCCCCCCACCACCTTTTAGCGCCAGCCCTACCTGCCTCTTTTTGCTGCATCATGCTTGCACAGCCCTGTTTGTCAGAGCAATGCACACATGTGCTGTTTTCGGTGCTTCTCTACCCCTCCCTATTTATGGGGTGGTCCGCCCATTACATTATTTTCCATATGAACAACTGTAAACCTACTTTTGCCCCCCCCCCCCCATATATTGACTTTGGACCATTAGATTAACAATGGGGGGGGGTGTTGTTTTCTGAATGTAGGCATACTGAAAAAAAGTCCAAATTATTGGGCTCAGCAGACACTGTTTCACATACCTTCATAAAGGTTGCAGCCAAGATCTCTATAACTATGAAGTGAATTATTTCCTTTCTAAGACACAAAGCAATTCACCCCTGCAGGTGACTGCAGGAGCCAGCATGGCTTGCCAGTCCCTGTGGTCTGTGACTCAGGGCACAGTACAGAGATCTTACCTCTGTTCCCTCTTCCTCTGCTCTGAAGCAGTCGTTTGCATGATTTTGAAACCCAAGTTATTTAATGCAGGCCATGCTACAAATAAATCTTGTCATACTTCATCCTCCCTTGTGGGTCTCCTAAAATGCTTTCCTTGTGACATCACAAGAACTGCACTCCCACCAGCAATATCACAAGTACTAGTGATCTGTTAACCATTCTCCTAAGACTGGATGCCTAAGAGCCATCCGCCAAGGAAAATTAAATCCCTCCTCAACTCCACTGTCCCATTCCCTCCCCTTGAAGAGTGTGGAGAGTGTGGACAAAAAAGGGGCTATATACTAAACCTGACAAGCTCAGGCAATGCCTTACATGGCAGCCTTACAAACTCAAGAGAACTAAAGTAACCACATAGGGTGGTCTGAAATTAAAACTTTCTAACTGAAAGCAGTTCATGGCAGGTACTCATGTCCTAGAGTAGTATTTTCCTAAACAAAGGTCAATCTTCACCTTAACTGACTGAGACTTTTTGTTTTTTGCATCAATGATAATATTGCTGATAATATACCTTTGGAATATCAAAGTAATTTTTTTTCCAGACCCCTCAAATCACATGGTTTCTTCTGGACCCCAGAAGAAAATGGATCCCCAGAGTTACATAGATTTAATGTAAACACCTTATGCCTCCTCCTTTCATTGTAATGTACAAAATAAGGTGCATAACTGCATTCCCTGGAGCATTTTCTCAATCTGTTGAGATTTTATTTCCTGGCAATTATCAGTTTTGGCCCAAATAAACTCATAATAATTCTTACAGGTTTGGACATTTCTTATGTAAGTCAGAGGACTGTAGGGGTAGGTAGGAACTTGTGGCATAGGACTTGAATTATTAGTTCAACTCACCACCAAAATGGTCTACAGCCAGGGGTGTCCAACCTGCAGCCCATGGGCCGAATGCAGCCCAGGATGGCTATGAATGTGGCCCAACACAAAATTGTAAATTCACTTAAAACCTTTTTTTTACTCCTCAGTTTTCATTAGTGTTTCTATACTTAATGTGTAGCCCAAGATAACTCTTCTTCCAGTGTGATCCAGAGACACCAAAAGGTTGGACAACTCTGGCACCATCCTAAGTGACTTAGGGAACGGACACTGTGTGTGCAGCCTGTGTTCCTTCAGTTCACAAACTGCCTTAAGAGGATATCCAGGTACTTTTTGAATCTCAATTGTTCTTAAAATCTCTGGAGCATAACTGCAAACCCCAGAAACTCTAGTTTACTAAAGGTAACCCAAAATTGTTGACAAAGGCATCCTCACAGTCTTTTCTTCTAAGAAGGCATGGATATTCTGAGGGGTCTGAGTTAGTGAATGTAAAAGAAATAGAGCACTGCTATTTAACACTCTAAAAACATCATGTTTTAATACTTATTTTTAAAATTTTTTCTCTTATGCAAGATAAAATATATATAAATTTCTTTGGGAGGAAAAGTGTAACCATTTAGGTCTTTTTGGGTTATAATCACAAACACACCATTTGTTTTTCCATTCACGCACATAATTTTTTCAGAAAGTCTTTCTTGAGAAATATTCCTTAAAACTTTCTGTAAAAGTAACCAGGCATTAAAAGACAAATACCATATGATCTCACCTGTAAGTGGAACCTAATCAACAAAACAAACAAACAAGCAAAATATAGCCAGAGACATTGAAATTAAGAACAAACTGACAGTAAACACCAGGGAGGTGGGAGAGGATAACGTGGGGAAAAGAAGGAAGGGTTTTCAGGAACATCTATAAAGGACACAAGGACAAAAACAAGGAGGGGTGGGAACAGGGGTGGGAACAGGAGTGGGAAGTGGGAATGGCTGGGTTGGTAGGGAGTGGGAAGGAGAAATGGAGACAACTGTATTTGAACGACAATAAAAAAAAAAGAGTAATCAGCTATCTACTAGTTATCCTTCTTATAAAAACTGAGATTTTAGGACTGGTTTCCATTATTTTGTGTCTTAGGAAGAACTACAAACCCATGAGTTTTATTAGTCCCAAGGGCTAATGGTATTTTTCTTTTCAGTTTTTTTTCTGCCTCTATTTAAGCAACCAGAGTGAATGTCACAAACAATGTGGAATGTATTTTTAAAACTAAAATGTACTTTGTTTTAAGTTAGGAAACATTGTATTCTGGATCTCAGACTAGACAACCTTTCCTCTCCCAGGGAACCTCATTCTGAACCACCCCCCACCTCCCTAGCCCCAGCCCACACTACTCTGCCAACACCAGGCTGTATCGGCAGGCTGGATTGCTTTCTGCAGTAAATGTGGCCAACAGGGAAGCCCCCGGATAGAAAAGCCACACTTGCGCTGTCACTGATTCCCAACCTGGAGACCTTTACTGATTGTGTGTGTGTGTGTGTGTGTGTGTGCGTGTGTTTGAGGCAGAAGACAGCATAGGAAGAACTCTGAGACTGCAATACTGTCGCTGACCAGCATTTATCACCCTGGTTGCCAGGAAACACTTTTTACCAATTAGGTAGATTAAATAGTAAACCGAGGCAGAAAGGAGGAAGGAGACAAGTCCCATATGCTAACTCAGCAGTCCTGAGCCTGGTCTGATAATATTGCCAGGTGTTCCAATGTCACAAGAAACACTATATTAGCAAGAAAGAAGGAAAGTCCTTGAAATTCTATATAACATTTTCCACTATCTGGGAAAGAAAGCCTTGAAACTGTGCTTTCATCCCAAGGCCTATAAAACAACTTTGGTTAATTGCCTACCTCTGGTCACTATCTGTTTTAAGAGGGAGTCCCTGATGCTTACAGAAAGAGCCTATAAATAACTTCGGAAAGTGCCCCAATTTTAATTAACTGCCTCCTGTCAGGCATTTGTTTTACAACAAGATGACCAAATGGGGTCTGGAGCAAGATAAGGATTTGGGCTAACAGAGCCCCACACATACCTAAGTTTGGGTAGTCACATCCCCCCAGGAAAGCTGGCACCACACTTACCCATTAATCAATATGTAACTTTTTTCCCTATCCCACCAACCATATAAGTCCTGAGAACTAAGGACTCCCTCTCGCTCTCTTGGGGACTCAGGGGCTCTTGGCTCTCCGGCCACAGGACCTCTGGCCACCCAGCCTCAGGCTGCCCAGGGGCTTGCCATCCTGGTCTTCAGCCGCTCTCTTGCTTTTCTCACCCTGCTTTGCCCCGAAACTTTGCCTTTCACCCCCTACTTTACCCAGTTCTGTTCTCTCCCATGGGAATAGGCCACTAATAAACTCATTACATACTACTAGATTTGCTGATATGTAATTCTTTACATGCGTCAGCAAGAAGAACCAGGTCTCTCCCCCCAACATGTTCACTCCTGTCCGTAAATCGGCTAACCAGCTTCAGTAGCTGCTGATTCCGGGCTGAATGGTCTCTTTTATCCAGGCCTCAGAGCTTGGGTAGTAGTCCCCCACGCCTTGGCGGAAAGTCCTGGGGCCGTGAGGGCGCGACTCCCACCTCCAACTTCACGTCTTTCATTTTTGGACCAAGAACGACCGGATCCGAAACCCCGCCTGATGGGAAGTTGGTGGCGGCTCACCACTGGATGATTTCACTATGCAGACCGCAGACGCCAGAGACGCCCCGCTGGTAGGTCGAGGTGTCCTCCACCAAGGCTCAAAGCCCGCCTAAGCTCCTAGGCTGGCAGTCTTCAGCGGCGCTGCAACAGTCCTACCCCAGTGTTTACTTTAGAGATGCTGTGGGCTCGTGGCAAGTGTGGCGCGTGGCAAGTGTGGTGCGCGGAGCCAGGCAAGCCAGGCTGGAGCGCGGGCGTGCCAGCTAAGGAGGCCGGTCTCACGCCCCGCACTCTACTGTGAGGGTTTGGGTAGGGGCGGGGTCACCTTTCCTCGGATCAAAAGATCGGAAGAGAGAAATACACCTTCCACCCTTTTACCAATCAATCAAACGAACAAAAAGCAACAAATATCGATGTATATAATATTTCAAATCAGGTCCCAGTGTTTAATTAGCAGTGGTCTTAAACCCTGACTGCGCTTTGGAATTACTTAGGCACGTTTCAAAAATATTGGCGCCCAAGACCAACCCCAGAGATTGTGATGTAATTGAGATGGGGGCAGCTTCGGCAAACCGGCTTTTACAAGCTTCCCAGGAGTTTAGTGATGCTGATGTGCATCCTGAGCTGAAAACAGCGGGTCCTGGAAGTTTGGCAGTGGGGGGGGAGATACCTGGAGTTTTTAGAAGACAGCCCAAGGTGTCTCCAATGGCAGATGGGGGTGAGAACCGCTGCCCTAGAGTGACATCTGCAGCCAGGCATAGCAGTCCTTGCCCCCAAGAGCTATTTATGTTAATGTTGCTATGTGCCCTTGAGCTGCTCACTCACCCAACCTCATTTCTCTTACTAATAGTTGTGTAGTTATTTAAGTATTAAGTGAGCTAATAAATGTACGGCAAGTGGTGGCCTGAGTAAGAGTTCAGTCAGGCCACTTCTACTTTGGTGACTGCTTCAAAGTTCCCCATAAGGATTTATCCATCTAGATTAGGAACATGTTTGACAATTGGACAACAAAATAGCCCAATTAAAAATGGGCAAATGACTTGAATATCTTCTCCAAAAGTACATACACAACTGGCCAATAAACACATAAAAAATGTTCAACATCCTTAGTAATTAGGGGAAGGCACATTAAAACCACAATGAGATACCGTTCCATACGCTGGGATTGCTATTAGTCTTAAAAAGAAAGAAAAACAAAAAAATAAGTGTTGTCAAGGATATGGAGAATTGGAACACAGTTCATTGCTGGTGGATGTGTGAAAAGTTGCAGGTTCTGTGAAAACAAGTGGTTTCTCAAAAAATTAAAAATAGGATTACCTAGTATGATGCATTCATTCTATTCTGGGTATGTATGTCAAAGAATTGAAAGCAGGGACTTGAACAGATATATTTCATTTGTACCCTCACTTACACAGCAGAATTATTTACATCACTCAAAAGGTGGAAGCAGCACAGTGACCATCAATAGATGAACAGTGGACAAAAAGTAGTATCTCATTCAGCCTAAAAAAGGGGGAAAACTCTGATACATGCTACAGCATGGATAAACCTTGAAAACATTATGCCAGGTGAAAGAAGCCAGACAAAAAGGGATGATTCCTCTTGTATGAAGTACCTAGGATACTATGAACTCATAGAGACAGAAAGAATGGTGGCTACCAGGGGTTGAGGAAAGAGATCATTAGGAGTTGTTGTTTCATTGGTATAACAGTTTTAGTTTAAGATGATGAAAAAGCTCTGGAGATTTATGGTAGTGATAGTTGCATCACAATATATATGTACTTAATGCCACTTAATGCCATTGTACACTTAAACATGGTTGGAATAGTAGATTTCATACCTTTCATGTGACAGTACTGGAATATAGGTGTTGGGACGCACCAGCAGAGGTCTCCAGGGCCAGCACTCTCTTTCAGGGGGGATGCCATCATCAGAGCATCAAGCAGGCATAAAGGGCAGTGCAGAGGAGATATCACAGGATATTCTTGAAAAAGCCTGAGCCTTCAAGTTTGATAGGTCATTGGAGCCAACCCTGGGTAGCATCTAGCTCTCTTTTGGGGAACTGTGGCAGGGATCAGCCTGGGCCTGAAGTTTGAGGAGGGTTTTAGGGAATTGTGGGATAGAGGTGGGTTGGGTGGGTAAGTGGAAAGGACTTATAATCAACAAGTGATGGGGACCTCTTGCAGTGGGACAGGTCCTTTTCTATAACCCGTGGATGCTGAGAGCATGGTTCTTTCCATCCCTCATACTGGTCCTGCAGCAGCTCCCTGCCACCCAAGAAACTTCCCAAGATGCCCATCATTTCTACAGAGATTAGAAATAACTAAGAAAACACCCTACTGTTATTTGCAGCTGACTTGGGGTCTTATTATATCACTGCAGATTATGTAACATTCGTATATTTACTGAGCCCCATCAATGCCAGGCACTGGGACAGATTTTGGAAATACAATGGGATACCATAATCCTCTGGTTGACCACTGGTCTCTTTGCTATTGACTGCAAGAAATATTACATGCTATGAAATGCAAGCATTACCTCCCCTTGCTGCAGAACTTTTGAGGCCTGTTGTTTAGAGGACAATAGATATAGAAGCCATGGGGTCAATTTCACACCCTCCACCCAAAGACCCAGTTAATTTCATCTATGAAAGATGATAGATGGTGTCCTCAGTTTGACCAGCCCTCTTATGGATGCACACTCTGAGTAGGTGTGTGCTAGTGTAGTAACTCCCTTAGGTTTATTTGCGGCTATGCCTTACTAATGTGCTTAATGTGCAAAGGATATTCACCTCTGCACATGACTCTTTTAGCAGCAGCATAATTAAGGCTTTCATTTGGGCTGAACACATAGCCACATAGACCACTAAGTAAAATTAGGTATAAAATCTATTTTCTTTTCAAAGAATGTTTAATTATAACTGATATTTTAAAATATGATTTTATGTATCTGTTCTCTTATACCTGAAAAGTCCAATCTCCCGCTATCTCAGATCCAGCATCTTCCCTTTAATGTAGTTACCATTACAAAAGGAAAGAAATCTTAGTTTTATCAAATAAAATATCAATTCCTTGTGTCACATTTGATATACACAAAGTTTTTTCTCCCTCTGCCAGAGAATATATCTCTTTTAGTTGATCAGTGACTTCTTTTGCCCACTTCAGCCTAATTGTCCTGGAGATTATCCAATTAATTTCATTTCACCTTCTAAAAGGGCACCAGATGTGCCTTATCCTTGCACAAAACCACTTCTGATTGGGGGTGCTTAATTTTACTCAATCCTTACTGTTACGAACTTTCTGTGGATGTCCCAGGTGTCTTCAGCCAATAGACGTATTTTAAAATAAAGCTGAGTTGTAATGCCTTCAGCCAAGAATGTAGAATGTAGTTAGCTTTTGCCCAGACAGAGTATTACAGAAGACAGATTTACAATTTACAGAATTACAATGGAACTGTATGTTTCATTTTTGACTGGAGGAGACTCTAAGATCATTGGGTTCTTTTTCATTGGAGAGATTCCGAATGGCTCTCATGTGTTAAAATTTTCCTTGGTCTAAAGTCACCTTCAGAGTGTCTGGCCCATGCTCTAGTTGAAATTGGGAACACCATAGTCACAGGCATGTCTAGAATGGAAAACCCCAATGCTACACAGAGCACATCACTGCTATTTCTTGATCTAAATTAAAATCCATGATTTGGAGTATCTGAAGACATTCCATTCCTGTAGAGATTGTTTTCTACCCACCTCATTTTCCTTTTGCCCAAGGTCATGTCAAAGGCTCGCCACATGTGGTGTAACAAACAGTATTATTGGCAGACAAACTCTGAGAACATGGGGAATAAAAAGGAACAACCTTCATTCATCTTGGAATGCTTATAAATTGTCATTTGTGGAGTCACACATTTGAAGTCTTTGTTCCATTGAAAGTGGGATGTTCTGGAAGTGATAGAAAACCAAGCAAAACCAAAATGACATGTGGTTTCTCCTTTTCTGCAAAGGAAGAGTAGGAATTAAATGTCATCTTATTACAGCTGTCATGTAACCTCTAAAGCAGGGGTGTCAAACTCATTTTCACCAGGGGTCACATCAGCCTTGCATTTCCCTTCAAAGGGCTGAATGTAATTTTAGGACTGTATAAATGTAACTACTCCTTAACTAGGGGCAAGGAGCTTGGTGCTGCCACTAGGTAGAAACAAGGTGCCAGACTGGATAAAACAAGATGGAGGGCCGGATTTGGCCCACAGGCCTTGTGTTTGCCACCTGTGCTCTAAAGGCACTTGTCCAAATCATAGTAGTGTAGAAATTCATAAATCATACCCTAATTCATTTAATAATGTTTCAAGAGAATGGGTAAATGCACACTAAAACAATTACTTTGGATTTGTGTAAATGCCATTTTAAAGGCTTTTATGAGTGTGGAAGCATTATCTTTTAAAAGCAGTTTTCAAATGGTAGCATTAGTTGACTTTTTGGTGTGACAAAAGTTCATACCATGGTTCATATTCTTCTTTGGTAAAAACATACTCCAACATATGCTTGCTCCCCACTGTTCTGCCTATAATTATCTTATGATGGCACCCCTACCATGAAATGGATTTCATTAAAGTATCCCCAAACTCAGTACTCATTTGACACATCCTTCTGAAAGCAGGTAAAAGATGGCACACTGCCTTTCTATCAGTTGTGTGATCTTTTCTGCTAATTAGCAATTTGAATTCCCCTGCAGAGAGAGGCAATGAGAATATTTTATAAAGAACTTCTGGAGTGGAAGATGGTGACTGAGTAGGTGGAAACTGAGTGCACTTGGCTTGTTTTTTGGCTGATCTTCCAACAAGTGACCTGAACAATCAATGGAATCTCAACTGGTATGAATTTTTGAAGTCAAGGAGTGTAGAGGATGCTTTGCACCATCTGATAAGAGATTTTATAAGTTGATGGAGAAATGTCCTGTGCAAGTGTAACCAGAAAAGACACCGGCGTTTGGGCTCCCTGTCACTACCAAACCCAATAAGCAATGACAGCGATTGAACCTTTATGGGCACT